CATCATCTCTGCCATCATCACCTCTGTCCCATCATCTCCGTCCCCATCATCCCTGCCCCCACCATCTCCATCCCATCACTCTGTCCCATCATTTCTGTCACCATCACATCTGGCCTATCGTCTCTCTCCCCACCATCTCCATCCCATCAACTGTCACCATTATCCGTGTCACCATCATCCCTATCCCATCACCTCTGTCCCCTCATTTCCATCCCCATTATCCCCTTCTCCATCATCTCTGTTCCCTCAGCTCCATCCCCATCACCCCCATCACTGCCACCTCTCTCCCGCCATCTCCACCATCCCTGTTCCAATACCTCTGTCCCCTCATCTCCATCTCCATCACCTCCATCCCCTCATCTCCATCCCCATCACCTCCATCTCCATCACCCCCATCACTGCCACCTCCGTCCCCTCATCTCCATCCCCATCATCCCCATCACTTCCACCTCCGTCCCCTCATCTCCATCTCCATCATCCCTGTTCCATCACCTCTGTCCCCTCATCTTCATCATCCCTGTCCCATCGCCTCTGCCCAATCCTCTCCACCACTGCTCACCCACAATTCCCTCTTCCTAAGGGATGTTCCCGATGCCTCGGGGCTGTTAACAAACCCCAGGACAATAAACCCCATAAATTTCCAGGACTCTTTCTCAAGCGGGCTGGGACCCGCCTGTCCCCATCCAAGAGGGAAATTAGAGCCATCCCAGAGGAATGCTCCCATCAATTGAACCCTATTAAACAACACCCCGAAGATTTTTCCCTGCTCTGGAGCACGAGATTTATTAACCATGGGGAAAACACCTGGAAAAATCCACTTGGAAGGACGAGCAAAGGCAGATCCGGGGAGACAGCAGCATCTCTGGATCCATCCAGGATGCGCAGGAAAATCCCGGCTCCRGGCTGTTCCCAGGTGCCCGGGAAGGACCTGGAGGCTCTGAAGGGAAGGGCCATCTGTCACRGTTGTCACGCGCCCGGAGGGACAGCTGAGGCTGCTGACCTCAGCTTCCAGCTCCTGCTTTCCCTTATGGGGCTGCAGGGAAAAAAAAAAGGGGGGAAAAAGGGGGGGGAAAAAAACCCCAAACAAACCAGGAAAGCAGCTGCCCTCCAGCAGATTTTTGGGTTTCTATAGGATCCAGCCTGGAGCTCTTGGTGTTTTCACTTCCCTCGCCAGCGATGGGATTTTTCCAGGGATTTTTTGCCTGCCCTGCACTTCCCAATGGATCGCTTCCCATCCTCACTCCACCTGTGATTTCCAAGCCAGCACCTCTGACTCCTGCCTGCTTTCCTTTCTCCATCCATGGCATGGGATCGGAGCAGCACYGGAGCATCGCTCCAGCAGCGTGGGCTAATTCTCCCCTCTAAGCCTCTCTTCTAAGGAGGCTCCGGTGTTTTCCAGAGGCACTGGGAAGCAGCAGGGATAGGGATAAAGGTGTTCCCTTCTCTGGAGTTTGCTGCTCCTGTCACATTGGGAGGATCCCAAATCCCCTCTSCTCAAGTGTCCCTGCACCCAAAGGTGCCCCTGTCATCCCAAGGGCTTTCCGAGAGCAGGGGCACCATGTTTTCCCAAAACCTTGCTCACAACCTTGATCCAGCAATTCCTGCTGCTGTGATTTCCCCAGGATTGCAGGCACTGCTATGGAGAACATCAGCRCCGTGTTCTTCTCAGTCATATACTTGTGGAATGGTTTGGGTTGGAAGGGACCTTAAAGGTCACCTTGTTCCACCCTCTGCCTTCATGGGCCAGGACAGCAGGACAGGGGGGATTCTCCCTCTTCACTCGGGTGAGATCCCAGTGGGAATGCTGTGTCCAGCCCTGGGGCCCAGCGCAGAAAGGACCTGGAGCTGCTGGAGGAGTCCAGAGGAGGCCACGGAGCTGCTCCAGGGCTGGAGCCCCTCTGCTCTGGAGCCAGGCTGGGAGAG